CTTCATTGAAGGAGTTGCATGGCCTGTGTGATATTACTTCATTAAAGGAGCTGCATGTTCCTCGACGTCTGCATGGCATGTGTGGTATAACCTCATTCTATTCCAACTCCCGGTCGTTTAATGATTAAATTAGTTAGAGTGCTTGGACAAAAAGATCTGATACCATGATCAAAGAAGTTCAAAAACGTTCATCAATGATTGTGTTCCTCTAAAACATGCCGACAAATGAACAAATAGCAAACTTATATTACACGTTTTACGTGTGGTGTTTTACGTGTGGTGTTGTTCTACTTAACATGATTGCTATGTTCTAACCGTGTACTACGTACAGTTTTACGTTGGCCATGAAGGACCAATCGACTTTACGACTTACGCCTTTAAAGTTCTGACCTATTTACTACTTTTGGCGATTTGTGCATTGCGAGGTAAAAACGTTTTATCCCAAAAAACACGAAAGATAGACCCAGCAGCTTCAAAATGTATTCCAATGGATCATGTGAATACAGAGGTCATGTTAAGTAAGGAAACAAACATCAGACATTTGGCACTAATCAATTAATAGTAGTCATTTGGCACTAGTCAATTAACAGTATNGTCAATCAACAGTAGTCATTTGGCACTAGTCAATTAACAGTAGTCATTTGGCACTAGTCAATCAACAGTAGTCATTTGGCACTAGTCAATCAACAGTAGTCATATGGCACTAGCCAATAGACAATAGTCATTAGACTCAAGTGGGCATAAGCCATAAATTGTTCAAAACTGTAAGTTTATGATAAATTGAAACGAAATAATTACATGAATAAAAAGAAAAAAAGTCGTAAATCAAAAGTCAAGTTAAGGCAGGATATCAAATGTTTAAATCGATCAATTGGACCAAAACTGATGTCACTTTGCACTCATGACGGTTTTTTTCATCTATTTTTATTCAGGCCAGGTTTCGGAAATCAAGTCCGTATTAATCCTTGCCACTAACTTTACCTTCTTTTATACATATAACATAACGCATAGAGTTAATAATTTTAGGTTATATAAAAACCTCCCAGAAATGTTCTTCTTACAGATAAACATGTCTGGTTTTGTCTATATTATATTATAGCGCTGTGATAGGTATGAC